GAGGGCGACAAAGTGAGACTCTGTCTCAAAAAAAAAAAAAAAAGAAAGAAAGAAAAATAGCTGGGCGTTGTGGTGGGCGCCTGCGGAGGCTGAGGCAAGAGAATCGCTAAAAGAATAAATAAATAAATAAAAAGAGAATCGCTTAAGCCCAAGAGTTTGAGCTTGCTGTGAGCTGTGATGCCATAGTACTCTACCCAGGGTGACAGCTTGAGACTCTGTCTCAAAAATAAATAAATAAAATAAAAATTAAAAAGTTGTACTTGTAGAAGTAGAGAGAATGGTGGCTGCTTGAGGGAGGGAGATCAAAGGGTATGTTTTTAGTTAGGATGTTTCAGTTAGGATGAATAAATTCTGGAATGCTGAACTACAGTTAAAGTATTATATACCTGAAAATTACTGAAGAAGCAGATCTTAAATGATCTCACCACAAAACGAGAGTAAGGTGACGAATATTAACTTTCTTGATTCAGTAATTGTGCAACATATACCTATATCAAAACATCACACTGTACAGTGTAAATATAAATATATACTTTTTTATTAAGAATCAAATTCTTACTGTCACCCATGCTGGAATGCACTGACGTGATCACAATTCCCTGTAGCCTCAAACTCCTGAGTTCAAGCCATCTTCCTGCCTCAGCCTCCCAAAGTATATGGATTACAGGTATAAGCCATTGTACCCAGCCAATTTTTGTCAATTGTATTTTAAGAAAGCTGGAGAAGAAAAGAAATTCAAGAAAAAAAAAAAACATCCAGAAGTAGGACCCAGCCTCCCAACTGATTCCCTGGACACACACCACACTGCCTCTCAGCACCATTCTAACAACATCACCCCCAGGGATTTTTAACCTGGTAATCCAAGATTTCAAGACACCACAGTGGGGTAAGAGTATCCTTTGACACTTACTCTGTCTTTGTCATGCAGCATATCTGCGTAGGATGACCTAAAAAAACAAAAAGGACAGATCAGAAAACTTTGCTAATAAGGAAACACATCAACACATAAGAGTATTCACATATATAAATGCATTCCTAAATCAGATGAAACAAACGTGTCATCCATTTTAAACTATTTTTTGTTTATGACAAGGTCTCACTATATTGCCCAGACTGGAGTGCAGTGGTTATTCACAGGTGCAGTCATAGCACACTAGAGTCTCCCAACTCCTGGGCTCAAGAGATCCTCCTGCCTCAGCCTCCAGTCATAATGGTATATGCTACTGTGCCCAGCCATTTTATACTATTTCAACAGTTATTTTATACTCCAGTACTATAGAAAAAAATTTCAGAGACAGATGTACTCGCCACAAGCATCTTGACCATGTTACACATTATACTTTTCCCACTAGAGGAACAACTCATACCCACTCTGCCTAATACTTAACCTAATCTCACATACATCTGCACCTTGGAATAACCTGATGTAACACTAAGCTGAGGAACTGCGGAAGGAGAGATACTGGCATACAGCTGGTGGGTTTGTGAGGGGTCCCCTGCCTTGTATTCTCACTTGACATCATCAGAGAAAACTACACACTCACCAAACACAGAGTATTACAGGAAAGAGAATCACTTTCAGTCAATATCAATATTTCCAACTATAGTAATTCACAAAATTGAAAGCCCTCTGGCAGGGTCAGGAGGAGCACCCAGAACTCGGGAGTCCCAGGGCAGAGCTAAAGCACTCTTAAACAGAGGCCCTCCAGCTTTGGGTTAACACCGGAATCAGTGGAGACCTTAGCTAAAATGCAGATTCCCAGGACACAATCATAGAGATGCTGATTCAGAAGATCAGGCTGGAGTCTGGAACACTGCACTTGAACTGGTGCTTGCTCCAGGCAATTGTGACACAGGTGTCCACACTCTATACTCTGCACTCCAAGAATGGGGTTCTCTGCTTTTATGATACACCAAGGTTTTTACATCCGAATGCAGCTACAGATGGTTAGCTGAAATGTGGTCAACAGCTTTGTCCACTTTTGTTTAATTATTTTAAAGACAGATCTCATGTTGCCCAGTCTGGAATGCAGTAGCTAGTCACAGACACAACTCACTGCAGCCTCAAATTACTTTCATCAATTAATTATCCCATCTTAGCCTTCCAAGTAGCTGGGACTGCAGGCTCATACCACTGCACCATTTTTTTTAAGATCGAGTCTTGCTTTGTCCCCGAGTAGAGTGTAGTGTCATCACTGTAGCTCACTACAACCTCAAACTCCTGGGTTCAAGCAACCTTCCCAGAGTGCTACAGTTACAGGTGTGAGCCACTATGCCTGGCCAGCTTACACATTTTTTAAAAGGCATTTTCTGGGTGGCACCTATGGCTCAAAGGAGTAAGGCGCCAGCCCCATATACCAGAGGTGGCGGGTTCAAACCCAGGCCCGGCCAAACTGCAAAAAAAAAAAAAAAAGGCATTTTCTGGCTCAGTGCCTGTGGCTCATCTTCCTGGCCTCATCACCCACTGATAGCACTCCCCACCATTCCACTGATAGCACTCTCTGTGAATACCACCAACTCACTCCTGTAGCTAATGCCAGTCACCAGCCTCCAGAACTTCTCCACAGCCTCTGACCCTGCTAGATATGCCCTCCTTCCTCCTTTCCATGCAGGCCTATTCCTTCCTGGTTCTCCTTTTGCCTCCTCTACTCCAAGATTCCTTCTTGAGGAGGAATACCTTTCACATTCTACAACCCCTCTGAATGATTGCAACCTCTCCCGGCTTCAACTCTTAACAATGGCAAATTCTCTGGTTCTACCTATCCTCCTAGGTTCTCCTGTCCAGGGAACAGCAGCTCCATCTACTTTGTCATTCTAACCAGAAAATCTTGACGCATCTTGAATTTTCTCTCTCTCCATCACTGCATCCAGTGGGTTACCAAACACAAGCTCCCTCGAGCTGTCCCCTCCTCTCCTCTACCTCTGCTGTTTCTACTTTGGGATTCTAATATCCACCCAAAGGTCCCCACTCCCTCCAACCTATTTCCCACATTGTTCTCAGTAAATGATCCAAAACTCAACCCAATCCTCTCTCTCCCTTGTTTAGTATCTCAATTGCCCAGAAGAGCCTGGACTTAACCTCATACTTCTCTTCCTGCACTTTGCCCGACATTTCACATCATAAGTCCTGCCTATCTTTTCAGCAGCCTCTTTCACGCCAGCCCCACTTTTGTGCCACATTCCAGGCACATTAAACTGCTAAGCCACTCCCCACAATAGCCCATCTGGAAATTTACAGAGTAATCCCTGCTGCTCAGAGTTTTATTTCCCTCCCTGCAGATACAAGAAATCACTCAGACATCAACACCTCTAAGTCCAGAGGTTCTGGCTGCTTCTGTGACCTTTTGTACCCATTTCTAATGGCCTTTATTTCGCTGTGCTGTAATTTTCTATCTCTGTCACTTCTATAAAATTGCACGGTCTTTTAACTTTTGAACTGGAGGCCAGGTACAGTGTCTCATGCCTGTAATTCCAGCACTCTGGGAGACCAAGATGGGTCGATTGCTGGAGGTCAGGAGTTTGAGACCAGCCTGAGCAAAAGCAAGACCCCATCTCTTAAAAAAAAAGATAAAAAAAAAAACTACTGGGCACTGTGGTGAGCACCTGTAGTAGTCCCAGCTACTTGGGAAGCTCAGGCAAGAGGATCATTCAAGCCCAAGATCTGAAGGTTGCTATGAGCTATGATGACACTATGGCATTCAACAAGGGGCAACAAATTACGACT